ACCCATCCACCTTTCCAGTACTTCATTCATCCATCCATCCATCCACTCATCTTCCTACCTACCCATCCAACCATCACCTTTCCACTCATCCATCCATCATCCGCCTGCCCATCCATCCATCCATCCATCCATCCATCCATCCATCCATCCATCCATCCGTGATCCTTCCAAGCATGCAGAAGGCCAGTTATCAGCTCAGCTGGGAAGAGGGCACACCTAAACAATCATGGTGGTATGGAGCTGTGCAAGGGCAGACCCCAGTATTTGCGTTTAGTGTCCATGTCTGAAAATTCACAAGTAAATTGTTTCTGAACACTAGACTGTGATCAGAGAAACAGATATGGGATGAATTTCAAGGACTGGTAATAAAAATTCATAGGGAGGTGCTTAAACTTAATCATGATAGTATATACCCTTCTCCCCCATCCAGGAGACTGGCTCAGGGAAGGCAGCACAGTTCATGTAAATCTTCTTTCCCCGGAGATCCCACTGTAGAGCTTTTTTTCAATGTGATGACCCATTGCATCACGGAGGTGCCCCTCTGATAACTACTGCACTCTCCTTAACTATAAAATTATGAACGCTAATAAGCCTTTTTTGTGGGCAGTTTAAGTTCCCAATCTAGTTTCCAGTGAAAGATGCCCCCAAATTGGAGAACTCAGTGGAAATCAACTAAAACCATTCCCCGGCTCCCCAAATGTATTCCAGTATTTTTGTGGCTGTGGGAATTCCAACTGAAATTTACTCATTTCTAATGTCAATTTGAGTTGTGTCTCTTTGTAGAAATGCCCCTCCCCCCCTTTTCTCTCTGAATATGGCCCATTCATTAGTAGTCTGCAATCAATCTTTCTCTAGTCAAATGAGAGTTGGAAAGAGGAAATAGGGCAGTGGTTAGAGCCTTGAGCTGTCAGGAGTCCTCCTCCCACATTCTACTCCACCACTGAGTCACTAGCTGACACTGGGCAAGTAAGTGGATATGTGATCCTTAAGGTAGTTTCAAATACCTGGAATCTTAATTCCATTCACTCTCGTACTTCAAATATTTAATACCTGGAGCTGATCATTTTTAACGTGCTGCTTCTCTACAGAAAAACAATCAAGACCTAATCGTGACACGATATGGAACAAAAAATAAGAACAGCATTTTGCACTGTTTCACTGTTTAAAATTTTAAATACAAATAAAAGCTGCAAGTGCTCACACAGAAAGAATTAAAGTAATGAGTTCTGTTTCTTCCTCTTAAATTCACTGTGCTATCATTGTTTGTTTCCAATTTGCAGTTCAGACAAGCTTCTGTATTGGAAATGGGACTTGCGCTGGAAACAAACTCCATGATTCCACCTGGACATGAACCTACTTGAAACAAATATGTGCATCTGAGACCCCATATTTTAGGGCTCAGTTGTATGTATAAGAGCTAGTAGGATTAACTTGCAGGTAGAACTCAAGGTTTATGAAAAGATAAATAATAAAATGTATTATGTTGGAACTTAACATGTATCTATTTGTAAGACTTAACAGCAACTACAACAACTGAGTAAAACTTAAACCAAAGATTTGGGGGTAGGTATTTTTACCACTAACATTGTTTCAAATTGCCAATTTAGTCACTTTTGTCATTTAAAAATTTATTCTGAAATAACTTCAGATTTACAGGAGAGTTGCAAAAATAGTATAGCGAGTCCTCATAAACTTTTCACCTAGCTTCTATAACCATGGTACATTTATTAAAACACAGACATTAACTATTAACAAACCGCAGACTTGATTTGGATTTCAGTAGTCTTTTCACTAATGTCTTTTTTCTGCTCCATAGTTTAATCCAGAACACCACATTACATTTAGAGGTTTATCATTGTTTTAAAATTCTTTACAGAACCTGCAACCCTTAGTGCCTAATGTCTCCCATCCCCCTGCTCTTGGCCCATTACTGATTCCATTCAAGTGCTGTGGTTTTGGGGGCAAGGAGATCTGATGGCTGTCAAGTCTCATCCTTTGCAAAAGGTAGTGCTGAGCCTCTGGTGCTAATATGCTGGTCTCTGCCAGAGCATGAAGAATCCACTGTCAGGCTGGAGAAACTTCAGCCAGACACTCCGACAGTGACCATTAGGGGCGTGACATTTGCAAGGATCATGTACCTACTGTACAGAAACAGAAAGCAAGGCTCATTTGGGAGCAAAATTCTTATGTGCCCTGTGAGGCAAAGAGGCTAAAATACAGAGAGTAAAAAAAAAAAGCCCTGAAAAAAACTCATGGTGCAGTATCTACTGGATTGTCTCCTCCACACCAATTCTCCCCATTGTCCTTGCCTTTGGAATTTTAATTTTGTTCAGGTAAGGGGTAGCCAGGATCTTCAAAGGAGGCTGGAAATCTTCTCAGTCCCTCTGAGGATGACTTCCTGGTGAGGTTAAACCAATCATGTCGGTTCCACTTGCTTTGCCAATGACTGGTTTAGGAATGGGCATATCAATGTAATTCTGGACAATGAAGCATGAAGGGAAGTCTGGGTCTCCTGGGGAAGTTTTCTTCACTCTTCAAAATGCCCCTCTCCTTCTTGTATGAATTTTGGGTCTCACTGAATGAAGGATAGAATGCCTGGAGCTGCTGCAGCCACTTTGTAACCATAAGGGACAAGTCAGTGATAAAAGCAAACATAGGGTAGCAAAGTAGGAGGAAAGTGAGCACTCTAGTCTTCCATGAATCACTCATGCCTGGGAATGAACTGATTCTGGACTTCTTGTTATGTGAGAAAATACATTTTCCATTTGTTGGGGACAGTGGTCACATTCATACCAGCCATGACAGCAGTATTTCTCATTCAATCATTCACTCAACCAACATTTGATGAGAATACACCATGTGGGGCTCCTGTGCTTAGTTATGTTGGAATATGAGAACAAATGTCTGGTTCCTGCTCTGAAGAGTAACGCCAATCAAAGGAGGATAAAACTCAGAGACAAATACACTGATTACAGGAAATCCTACCACTACCTGACTGCTATGCACGAGGTATAGTGTGCACACCTCTAGCCTAGTGCCCCAAAGACAGCTTTTTGAAGGAAGAGGTACATTCTTTTAAGCTCTAAGGATGGCTACCTTTTAGGTAAAGGGACATGGAATAAGGGCCTTATGAGGTGAACAAAAGACACAGAGATTGAAAACCACAGGGTTTATACTGGAAAGGGGCTATACCAATTTAGTTAAGAGTTGGTGTGGCAGAGATATCGACAGCCATGATGGGACAGGTGGAGAGAAGCAGAGGGTGCCTGCTTCATTGGTGGCATGCTTTAGGAAGTCTGAAAGCCTGCAGCTGGTCCTGCTGTGCTGACCCAGTTTGAGTTCTGCTTCAGCTACCCACTAATTACATGGCCCAGAACAGACACAAGAAGGGGTTGGTAATAACTGTTTTGCCTCCCAGACAGGGCAACTGTAAAGTAAAATGTAAATGTGAGACATTATTATCTCCATACATCTGGATGTAACTGTATATTCACTCATTCTTAGGTCCTTGCCCCAGCCTCAGAGAAGTTTTCCTTCATTCTTTTGTTGTTGGAGTACCCTCTAAACTTTGGTTTCATCAATCATCTCCTGTATTTCTAGTATTTTCACTATTTCCTTCTCTCTCGATTGGTTCTTCTCTCTCCAAATATGCTCCAATCTCAAAAAATAAATATAATTTAAAGATCCTTCCCTGAACCCTATATCCTGCAAGACCATTTCTCCTCTCTCACCAAGCTTCTTAAAAAAGTTATCTACTTTCTCACCTCCTTTTCTCATCCTCTCCTCACGGTCAATTGAGTGCACTCCAGTGGGCTCTCGGAGGCCATAAAGCCTGCATGGAAGGGCTTTATCTCATTCTCAGCCTGCCTGATTTAGTCATAGCTCCCCCACCTCACCCTTTCCTCTTCTTCCACATCCCTTCTCAGTCTTGGGGTTCCCTGGGATTCTTTGGACTTTGGGTTTATTTTCACTCAGCACATTCTTTCAGGAACACTTACTTAACTTAATGGCTTCAACAGTCCCATTGCCGCTGAACTACAAACACCTTTAATCCTCCCCTTTATCCAATCCAGCAGCTTCCAATTGACCTGTTGAAGAGTCAGGCTGGATGTCCCGTGAACCTCAAACCAGTTTGTTCAAAGCTGAGGCCATCTTCTCTTCCTCTCTTATACCCTCTGTTTCTCTGTTGTTTCACATACACATTTTAATAATCCCCCCTTTATTTATATCATCGTAGCCTAAATTTGGGCTCCTCCAACTCCTGTACATCATATATTAAGCAGTCACCAAATCCAATTAATTAACCCTTGGAATATCTCTGAAATAATTCACCTCTCCTTTATTCTTACTGCCATTATTCTTTCAGAAGTGTTCATTTTTTACTGGATGGTTGTAATAGTTTCTCAAGTGGTTTTCCTGACACCGCTCTGTTTAAATCAGAATGATCTTTCACATTCCTCCTAGTTCTCTCTTCTAAAGACAGATTTGGTCACGTTTAAAGACTTCCTATTCCTCCCCTTTGTTTACAGAATAAAGTCACAACTCTTCTTAAAAAAACTTTTTTTGGCTTTGTTGAGGTATAATTGACAAAATTATAATATATTTAAAGTGCACAATGTATGATTTGATACACATATAGACTGAAAGTCATAATTCTTTATCACGGCATTCAAAACCCATTACAAATCAGCTCTGTCTTGACTCTCCAAAATTCATCTCCCATTACTCTCCTGCATTTCCTGACATTAAAATCCTACTAGATAAATGTCCTCCCAAGTGTCCTCTTCCCTATACCTTGGACCAAATTAAGTTTCCTCTTCTTTGCACTCATAGGGTATATATTTCAAGTTGTTCTCAGAGTCACTATCATACCAAATTGTAAGGATGCCTGTCTCTTCTAAATGATTTTAAGCTCCAGCAGGGTTATTTGTTACCTCTTGCTGCATAATATATGACAATAAGATTTACTGACTTAAAACAGCAAACATTAATTATCTCACCTTGTTGTGTGTCAGGAATTTGGGAGATGCTTATCTGCCAGGTTCTGGCTCAGGGTCTCTCTCTTGAGGTTGCAGTCCAGAGGTCAGCCAGGGCTGTAGTCATCTGAAGGCTTGACAGGGGCTGGAGGATCTGCTTCCAAGATGGCTCACTCACATGCCTGGCAAGTTAGTGCCGGTTGTTGGTAGGAAGTCCTGGTTCTGTGTCACGTGGACCTGTCCATAAAGCTATTTGAGAATCCTCGCAACTGTAGCTAACTTCTCTCAGGGAAAGTGATCCAAGAAAAGAGAGAAGAGAAAACTAAAATGCATGTTATCATCTAGTCTTAGAAGTCACAAACCATCACTGATGCCATATTCTGTTTTGTTGGAACTGAGTAGGAAGTCCAAGGCATACTCAAGGGAGACAGAGGGAATTGTCTTGTCACCTCTTGAAGGGGGGAGTATCAAAAAAATTTGAAGACATATTTTAAAACCATCTTTCTTTCTCTAGTAACTGGCATGGCACCCAGCACTGAATAGTCGCTCAATAGATAGTTCTAATGGAATGACATGTTAAAGCGGGAGGTATCGGAGGCAGGGTATCCATGGGTAGTGTGGGTCAGGTGGAGGTGGGAGTTGGTGGGAGATATTCTGAGGTAAGAATTCATAGGACTCCATGACTGATTGGATCAGAGGGGTTGGGAAGATCCATTTGCGGTTGAGAGGGTTTGAAACCAGGACTTAAGAGATGGCTGAAGTAGGTATCTAGTACTTCCTCCATGGAAGTTGACAACATCCCTCCTTTTGCAAGAAATTCTCACCACAATATCCTCTACAAGTGGTCATGGGGAAACTTCACGAGAGAACTATTAAGCTGAGCCGTCTCAAATGCTGATATTCTACTTTTGATGTATAAGACACCAGTATCATAGGGTTCAATCACATAGATATGGCTGCAGTTTGAAAACCTGAACACCTTTTCACAGATGGAAAATCGACATGTTCCAGAGTTCTTGATCTTTCTATTTCCTGAAAGACAAAGGTCCAACTTTAAGAAACCCCACTCTGGAAGTTAAATGAGATTTAGTCCAATAGAGCTGTTGCTTTTCCTTAAGTCAGGTAAAGCAATTAAAGACCAAAGACTGCACGCTAAATCCTGAAGGGTAAAAAACTTAAGATGCCGAAATTTATCCAGGAACTGTCTCTCACGCTTCACAGTGTCATCTTGAAGAAATCAGATTTACTGATAAGTGAAATAACTGGGGACGTAATAAAAAAGAAAATTGGAATTAAGTAGTTCTTTGTTCATTTTATATTTGCGCACATCCAGAAAGTCATTAGATTCCTTCATTACTGGTGGGAACAAATCCAATATTTGCCAATATAAGTAATTTATTAAAAGCACTTTCTGTCCTTTCCAGGAGTATTTTTAAAACTTAATATTAAATAAATCTTTGAATGAGAAATTTCTTTTCTTCTTTTTCATTATCAGTGTTTTGTTTTTCTACTTCTTCAGGTCATTTTGTATTGAAGGTAGACTTCGGGTAAGATCTGTAAAACTAATTTGTAGTAAGTAGCACCAGGATCTCAAAAGTTAAAAGAGCAAAACTGCACCCATTCATCCACTCCTCCTTCAGAACACAAGCTCCCAAGGGCAGGGTCTCTTTCTGATAATTAGCTGCAGACGCCCAATCTTGTGAACCGTGCCAAGCCCACTGCCAGTTCGCAGTAAATACTTGGTTAACCGTCCATTCGTTTATTATCCGTGCGGGGCGCTGAGGCCACAGTCCGCAAGCCCGGGAAAACCCGGCTGCCAGGCGCAGCCCCCGGCCGGCCCGCGGCCTCCCCGGCGCTTCCCTTCCGCGGAGGAAGGCGCGGGCCCGAGGAGTGGGAAACTCGGCCCACTTCCTGTCCCGGCAGGGCCGGGCGTCCGCGCTCCCCGCGGCCTGCTCCGCCGGCGCGGGGGGCGGCCGGGCCCCAGCCCCGGAATCGCGGCGGCGCGCGGCTCCCGCGCGGGCGAGAGGTTCAGGGCGGCGCGCGGCACCCCCGCCGGCCTCGCCCCCGGGCCCGCGCGCCGCCGGCGGCGAGAGGGTTAAGCGCGCGGGGGGCGGGGCCGGAGCGAGCCCTGCGCGCCGAGTGCGAGCCGCGGGCGGGGAGGGGGCTGCGGCCGGGGGCGGTTACGGGCGGCGCGGCCGGGGGCGGGCGGAGGAAGGGGGCGGGCCTCCGAAGTTGTTGGACGCTAGGCCGGCGGGCCCGAGGGCGAGCGGGCTGCGGGCCGGCGGGCAGACCGGGCCGGGGCTGGAGAAGTTCGCGCGGCGGCTCGTGAGCGCAGGGTGCGGGCCCCGCCGGCCGTTGCGCGCCCGCTGCCATGGCTTTCCGCAGGAGGACGAAAAGTTACCCGCTCTTCAGCCAGGAGTTCGTCATCCACAACCATGCGGACATCGGCTTCTGCCTGGTGCTCTGCGTCCTCATCGGGCTGATGTTCGAGGTGACTGGGACTGGGGAGGGGAGTGTCCCCTGTCGTGCGTCGCCCTGCGCACTTCTGCAGCTCCCCAGGGTCCTGGCCTGAGCTGGGGCGCCTGGCTGCCTTGTACGTTATCTGTTATCCGAACGCCCCCCCCCCCGGCTTTGTGCGGTGTACGACACCTTGGCCTCCCAGACAGCCTAGAGGACACCACCTTCCATCTCTGCACCGTGCCAGCGGTGCCCTGCTCTGCCGCCGCCTTGGTCCCCCACCAGATCCTGCAGCTTTCTCTGCAGCCCTGAGTCCTAAGTGGGTCCTCGAACCAACGCCGCGCTGCCACTCTGGCCCGAACAGTGGGGTTTCCTTTCTGGTGTCCGGGAACCATGCCCGGAGACTCCCGGACCCGCAGTCATTGCACAACTCCCCCACCCGAGCGGTGGCTGCCAGCTCTTCTGGGCTTTTCCAGTGGGATCGACCCGACCCTGTTCCACCTCCCACCTGATTCTCTGGGTCTTTGCATCCTCAACTCTGGAACGTGCTCGGGTTGTTCACTTGTGGTTCTGGCCTCATTCCACCGGGCCTTTCTATCGTCTCCCCCACCCCCGCCCTTTTTTTGCTTTTGCCTAAAAGGCCAGTTTTCATATACCCTTTATCACTCTGTAGACTGTTCCTTAGATCCATCTGTAGTGGTCCCAGAGCTTTTCCCCCATTCCAGGTGCAAGGAGAGGGAGGGGGATGCCCTCTGCTTGTAGGGGAAAGGTGATTCTCTCGTAGCTGTGGGGTGGTGGGGAGAGGTTGGGCTGGGTAGGCCTCCCAGAACAGAGTTTTAGTAAGCCCACAGGGGGTCAGAATTCACCTGGGCTGATGGGAAGGATTCTCAACTCCTGAGAGAGAAAAACATGATATTCCCAAGTGGGAAGAACTGGAGAAAGTTGAGTATAGCGTTTGCTGTGGTATATCTTGTCTCAAGAGAGGGATATGTGAGTGACGCTCCCCTCACTCTCACCCTCCGTGGTGTCTAGGGCAGCGCCTGTCCTGCCTTCTGGGTGGGGCTGCTTATCTGCATTCCCAGGGATGGGTTAGGAAGCTGTAACCATTTATAAACTGCCTTAGTGATGGAGGATTCCTAGCGTGACTAGTTTCTCCTGTATCCCTCTGTCCCTGGGTTCCCTGTCTCCTCTCTAAGGATGACAAGGGTCCTACTTGGCCCTGAAGCCGCCCTCAAGCTGGGGACCTTGCTGTGTGGCCATGTCAGGGTTGGGGGTGTGAATGTATCCCGGCTGGGCTTCAGGGTCTGTAGGAAATAAACCTGAGACTAGGATTGGGGTCTGCCCTTCAGCTTTTGCTCCTTTACTTCAGTCCCTCCCTCCTTCCTGCCACCCCCAACAGCTCTCACTGTATATTGGAAAGGTCTTTGTCAAGCCAGGGTCTTCCCTGTGTCCCAGTCCCTGCTCTGTCTCTGGTCTTGACTGAAACACTGACTACAGCCTCAGTTTCCCCATCGTTAAAAAGGTTAGTAAGAGCTGTCTTCCTCACAGTGTTACGGTAAGGTTTAACTGAGATCATGTAAGAAATAGCAGCCATGCCAGACTTGACAAATGTGAAAGGCAGTAGCCTGCTCTTGTGATTATGTATCATAATAATAGCTTAAGTAGATAAGACTTTGATTTGCCCAGCCCATACTGACAATGTTTGTTTGCTGTCCTCACTGGAGGAGGCCTTGGACTGCTGTGTCCGTGTCACCAGTCTTGGAGGGTGTGGTTGGAAAGACACACGTGACCGCTGTAGACCTGACATGCTTTGCAGCCAGCGAAATCTCTTGCAGTCTTAGGGCTCTCTCTGCTGTGTTTCTGGCATTTGTTAAAGTTTGTGGCTCTACCTGCTGTATCTTAAAAGAGCCACCTAGCCTTTGCTCTGGGTACTTCCTCTCCCTGCCTCTAGTCTTGTGGAAAGTCCTGTGCGTTAAGGTGCGCTTGAAGGTGCATTGAAGGTACGTTGTGGGATTTTTGGGGTGTGCTTGATCTGGGAGAAGCAGGGCTGTGCCCAGACCTCCCTTATGGAGAACACATGTTCTGCTGTGCTAGGCACATGGCAGGTCCTCATTGTCTCTAACTTCCAACTGACTCTCCACAGAGGTAGGTGTTCTGGAGAAACTCAGGATTTTGGAACTCTGCTCTCCCCACCAAATGAGACAGAAAAGCTCAGTTACTTCAAGGGACCTCGGAGCAGCCCATGTGGGCGCCTTCCCATCTGGAGTGAAGCCAGGGGCGGCAAGCCTTGTAACCCAGCACAGACCTTACTAGCTACTTCTGAGGGTCTTCTGGTTCTCTGTCGGAGGGGTGGTGTGTATGTGCCTATATGTAAGGATGCATGTGGTGAGGGGACAGTCCAGCATTTGATACACTTTTTCCTAGAAGTGAGGACAGAGGAAGTGGAAAGCGAAGGGGCGCCTGGAAGAGGATGGCAGGCTCTTGGTTTCTACTTGGGCAGGGCTAGGATTCCTTCATTCAGAAGCTGAGTCAGGGAAACTTAATTATAATTCTTCCCACAGGGAGAGACTCTCCTGGCCACTCCTCCCTTGGGGTCCCCTGCCCAGCCCCTGCCAATGAGCTGGGCCCCTCTCCCCCACCCTGGGCAGCCACAGCTCTTGCGTCTTTAACTGCTGTCTGGCTCATCGTGCCATGCCCCTTCCCCAATTCATTCACCAGCTTTAGGGGAGTTTCTGTTTCCTTTCAGAGACCCCAGGACTTCAGTTCTTTCCCCTAGGAGAGGATTATTCCAAATCCCTCCCCTTGGGATCACTTCCTTTTGGGAGCACGCATCAGAGGGTGCCCCCTCTCTCCTCCTTTTGATTTAGTTTTGGGCCATTCTTAGATTCCTTCCCTGTTTACAAGGCAGAGGGGGCAGGTTCTACTCCCTGAACCCAGGTTTTCTTTCCGTCCTACAGGCTGCTGGGAATAGAGCTGTTCTGTGCAGCCACAGCACTTGGCTAAAAAATGTCAGGAATGTGGAGCTTTATTTTCCCCCTCCTTCCCTTCCAGCTTTCTCTTTCTTAACTCTGCTCTCAGAGAGGTGGTGTCAGGGGGAGTTTTCTACTCAACAGTGTGGTCCTTCAGTCCTGTCTTAGGTGGAGTCCGGCTTGACCTTCCTGCAGGGTGTGGGCGGCCAGTTGCGCACGCGAGCGCGCGCGCGTGTGTGTGTGTGTGTGTATGTGTGTGTGTGTGTGTGTGTGTGTCAGATTTGAAAGCAGCCCTGCCCTCCCCACTCCCGTCGCTTTCCAGTGTCCTGTTCAGTGCCACGTTTCACACTGCAGCCCACAGGGGAAGAGGAAAACTCTCTCATTAGCAAATGGAGAATGAGAAAGAGGGGGCACATCGAAGAGAGAGGAATCAATTACACGGCCCCTCTAAAATGTCATTTTGAGACAAACTGTTTCTTGAGAGCTCGTTTGCAGGCCCTGACGGCTCTGCGGCAGGGAAATGCTTCTGAAATTCTGGGCCTGTTATTTGTAGGCTTGGGTCCTATTTGGTCTGTGATGATTTTAGGGTTTAGGAGCCAGAGAAATTTTGGGGTTGTGGCTGGTTTTTGCTTCTTAATTGTTTTGGAGCTAGAGGTGGTCGAGTTAAGTTTTCTCCAGGAACTGCCTTCTTCCCTTTGCTGACATTGTGACGACTTGCCAGGATGATGTGTTTGCACGTATGCAATGGGAACCCATTGTGTCCTAGCCCCTTACTACATGGCTTCTGGGGCACCCGTTCACATCCTCCCAGACATACCTGTGGGCATTGTCACCTGGAGTGAGGCTGCTGGTTCTGTCTCTTAGTGTTAACATTATAAAACAATTTTACTTGTATTGTGCTAATGTAAAGAAATGTGTAAATGGCACAGATGTGCACCAGTGGACACATGTCTTTCTTTGACTAACTTCTCATGTGCTTTTGCCCACTTCTTTATTTCCTGACTTTAGGCATCTTGCTCTCTAGCTTCTGACCTAGTCCACCAGTGGTGTTCTAGAGATATTAGTCAGAGGAAACCGAGAAGGGGTCACTTACTCTCTGTGCTTGGATTTCCACATGCATAGCTCAGTGATCTGAGCAACACAGCAAAAATTTGGGGCTAGTTTTTCTCCTGGTCAAGCCTCAAGCATAACCCTATTGTGTGGGACGTAAGTGCACATCAGTTTTCCTTTTTGCTTCCATTGGCAAAAAATGTGGTAGCCAGAAAGGTAGTGTTGATCAGTTAGTGTGGGTTTTTAACCCTAACTGCAGGGGGAAGATGGATGCCTATAAAAAGGCCCTGCCTGGCACATGGGCGTGTGACTGATAAGTCTCAACCACCACACCAATGGCTGCTGTTACTCGCGTTACTGTTGGGTCTGGGAGCGTACCTTCCACCATCAGATTTGCTCATTGAGCACCCCGGCCATATTTCATTTCAGATGTGACATGTTTTGCCATGAGACCTTTCCCCCAGGTTCTCTAGCGCTGGCTCTCTGCTCTCCCAAGGGGGTGATTGCTCCACGTCTCTTGCCCAGGGAGCCTGTGGTGCCGCTGCTCTCCTGAGAACATCTGCTTTCTCTCTGACATGCATCGTATTAGATCAGGGCGAGGGTACTGGACGGTCTTAGCGCTGCCACTGCCAGCTGTGTGGTGGAGACTGTCCTGCAAGCTAAAGAGGTGCCACTTTTCTCTTGCTCCCTCTGTTGTCTGAACGGTCAGTCGCTCATTTCTGGGGGACACTGTCCAGACCGGTCACAACAGAGCGCCTTAGTCCTGACTATTTGTAGAGTAACGTGTTGCTATGGTGAAAACTTCACTGTGGCAGGCATGAGATGCTTTTTGATCTGCTTCCTTGTGGGCAGGGGCCCCAGGAATCAGTCTGTGGCATAGCTGATGAACCTCCTGTTCCCACCCTGATAAATGACGAAGCCGGAGGGTTGATAAGACTGGATTAGAGTTCCCGAAGTACAGAAGTGCTTTCTAATCAGCGAAAGCACTATTAGCAGGCTTTGGTGGGAAACTTTA